GATGAGGATACTGTTTTGGGTAGTGAAATGATGAGGAAAAAGTGGCAGAGCGCTGTAGCTACTCTTCGCGAGTGCTGGCGTGAGGGCGGACGGGGTTATTGAGTAGAGCAGGAGGCATGCTCGCACGACTGATGGGGCGACAAAGCACACACCACACACACACACACACACACACACACGAGAAGAGCACACGCAGATGGACACATTCGCACCATGCACATACGCAAAAACAAGAGTGCACATACAAACACATGCAGATGATTTATGAACACACACACATAAAAGCACAGGTATATACACACACACACACACCCCACACATATGCAGCCGCGCAGATGGACCGGGCCGAGGATGAACAGCCAGACAGCACCAGAGGTTAGAGGAAAAAACAGAGAAAGAGAGAAAAGAAGGAAAGAAGCTGTTAGTGGAAAGCTGAAAGGAGAAACAGGATCAGAGCTACAGCTGGAGCACATGCATGACGCCAGCTAGAACTACACATGAGCTGGGCGTGTAGTGTTGTCACCATGACCAGGAGCTTTAACTTAAATACAGCTGGAGTTGGAAACTTTCAGCAAATGTGTTGTGCAGACTGCTTTTTGATCGTAACCTTCAGGTGGTGCAAACAGGCAAAGAAATGGAAAAAGAGGATTGTAATCCATGATTCAGCAGTCGGTTTCTTCACTGCAGTGGTGAACAAGTCTAATCAATCAGCTAAGAACAGCATCAAAACAGTCCAAACTAAGATAAACACAGCCGTGGACCGGCTTCAACAATTTCTGAAGAGAAGCACCTGACTGATCTCAACCTACAAATACCCTGTTCACTTGGACAAAACATGCATTACTTTGCAATATTTTGTAGTGGGATTCACAAGCATCTTTGTATGCTTTACATGTTATAGTACCATATTATAAATACTTAGTGTTGATCTTCACTGTAGCTGAGATGTTGATATAAGACAATCATAACAATCAAATAATGCAGATCTTGGAAAACAGCATAGATTTAAGATATCACAATTTCTCACTTGAGACAGTTTTTAAGGTCACTTGAAAACACATTTGTACAGCACAGTTGTTAATAAATGATTGATAAATGTTAAAAGTGAAAAGTAGACTTGTAAAAAGTTCTTAGCAGGTACTTATAAGATCAATAGTGGCCAAAAGGATCATAACGGTCCCTCATGAGAAAAAATAAGGTAAGGATTTTATTAAGAACATGTAGAGAAAAATGGGAGGTTCTTGATCTACTACAGAAATGTTCTCAAGAAACATGTGGCAGCAATCTGCTGCACTCAAACTAAAGGCTCCTCAGCTACATTGAGACAAACTCTCATTAAACTGTTTACTTAACCACCAACAGTAAATAAATAACTTGTTGACAGTATGCTGACAACTATGCTTAAAGCTTATTAATTTATTAGCTCAATAGCCTGACTACACGCAAACAGAGAACAGCCTCCAAGTTGCGTTCGACACTTTTGGTCGGATTTACGGTGCAATATATACATCACAGGTTCCCAACTCACACAAAACACATGCACATATCTTCTGTCCACTTAGTGAACAGAGGAGACTGAATTCCTACTTCAGGTGCTTACATTTTGGTATTTGGCTCTAGGATAACACTACATTTCACACATTCTGTAAAAAAAACATTCAATTTCATTTATTCTTTGCAGCACTGAATTTCATACTCTTTCCTACATGAATGAGTTTCACTATTAAAATCGTTTTACTTCAAGGGTTGAAATGCCCAGTTTCTGCAATGCACTGACCTGTCAAAGGAGTCGGTGGCCATCTTGTAAAGGTAGATGAAGAGCTTGCTGCAGTGTTTGAGTGTGGGACAGACACTGTCTCCTGCGCAGCCTCCAGGGGCAGCCTCATCCTCCAGCAGCCTCTGGAAAGGCTGAGCATTGGATGGGAACACGCCTGTGGGACCAAGCTTCTTAGTTTCTGAGAAACAACCCAGCAGCCTGGTGGGAAGAACATTGGTTACCTTGAGGTTAGTTAGGAAGTTTGGTTTTAAAAAGGTGAAAAACAAAGAAACAAAATGAAAACACTGAATAAACTCTTTCTTTGGATTTCGATGTTCTTGTGACTTTTCCTACAATGGGAAAATCACTGAATAGAAAGCGCAACCATCATTTCACAGGTTGTTCATGCATTATCCTACCTCTACACTACATTAGTGTGACACTCAAGCAGCACAAAACAAAGCCAGATCTGCACTGGACTACAACTACTGTATTTGGGAACCTTTAGTAATTGAGGAATTTAATTGAACCCTTCTAACTGTCAGGTGAATCTATGTTTAGTGTTAGTGTAGCCCATCCACTAAACAGTAAATCTATAGTATGACAAAAAAAAAAAAAA